TCTGCCTTCTAGCTTAAACAACTTCTTTGAATGTACTTTTTGAATTTTCCAAGGAGGGGAAAAAAAAGAAAAAACACACAACAAAGAATATCCCCCCCTCCATTTAAGTGCCTAGACTTTTGGGTGCCATACCAGACCACTCCACAGCTGAGGCCTTTGTTACCTGTGGAATGGGAAGACCAGTGGGAATAAAATAAAGAAAAAACTCCACAGTTATGATTTGAAGAAGAATGGTGACTAAGATCACATTAATCCACTCAGCTCACTAAAAAAAAACTCATAATTCAGTTCTCTGACACTTTAGGTAACAGGGAACTTCTCCCACATACAATATCCAGAGGAAATGGCTGCAGGACTGAAGACACGTAACGAAGGGTGTATGAACTTGGTCATTTCTTGTATTTACAGACCCTCTTGAGCGTGGATTATAATTTATATCCAAACCCACAAAAGCTAGAAACAGGGGAAGAAAGAAATGGAAAGAACAAGAAGCTGACACTTTAGGTAACAGGGAACTTCTCCCACATACAATATCCAGAGGAAATGGCTGCAGGACTGAAGACACGTAACGAAGGGTGTATGAACTTGGTCATTTCTTGTATTTACAGACCCTCTTGAGCGTGGATTATAATTTATATCCAAACCCACAAAAGCTAGAAACAGGGGAAGAAAGAAATGGAAAGAACAAGAAGCTGGGGAACTCTGCCAAATGCTCACAAAATTTCACCACTGTGTCTACTTTGGCTGTTCCTGCAAGTATGTGCCACTGTGGCTTTGGCGGACAACGCGAGTACGCTGTGTAGAATATCCAGCCTTCCTGGCAGCCTGATTCATTCAGGAACAACGAGGTCTTAAACTGGCTTAAGAAACTCATGAAACTTTTAGAGTCCACTGGCATTTTGCAGATAAAATTTGGTATTCAACTTTAGGAAAAGTGCAAATACCTGCTAAAATCAATGGAGAGGAATTAGTATTTTTCCCCAATTTGCAGGTGAAATGGTATAATGAAAACTTTAAAGACAGTTCAAAAGCATGTCTCAGCTCCCTTTATAGCCCAAAGAAAATGTTTTATGTTTAAGAACTGACCCTGGGAGATTTAGGTTTGGCTGAGGCAGGTATTTATGTGATATCAAATGAATTACTTCAACCTTAAATCAGATTTTCAGATTAGTTTAGTGGAATAAAGCATACAAATCCACTGAATTTCACTAGAGATTAGGCAACTAAACCTTGAAACCTGCCTACACAAGATGAATTTTAACAGGAAAATACTTGACTCTGTCATTGTATATGTACTAGAATGCTGCTTTCAATATCCAACCAACATTTATTTTGTCAGTACAAGTACAAATTGCACTGACACACGTCTGCTTGTGCTCGTGCTTCTAAAGACCCAACTGAAAGTTAATTTTGGAAAAGAGACAAGTTTGCAACAAACTATACTGAACAGAAAGAAGTAACATGCTTAAAAAGAATGTGGAAATATTAAGCTTAAGTGAGGAGAGGCTTTTTCCTGGCTAAAATAAAACTCCTGACAGCCACCATATGCTTCTCTGAAATGAACTGAAAAATAACATAATTGAATTCCAATTTATGGAAGACACAAAGAAATTGCTGCTTTTGCACCCAAATTAGATAAGCTGGATGAAGATGCTTGGATGTGTTATGCTTGGATGTATTAGTTCATTAAATTCAGCTACCATCAGACTGGACTATTCAAAAAAAATTTTTACATCACAGTTAAAACTTTTAGTGCTTCTTATTGCAGTGGTCATTTTTCATCTACCGATTAATACACTTCACAGGGTGAGGCACTGCAGCAATGACATTTCTTGATCATTTGCTAATATACTTCATGTAGTCATTATACTGAACTGCACAAATGAAGAGTTATCAAAGAAAAACAATTTGCTTTTGATTTCTCTTTCTATGAAACAGTCTATTCAGAAAAGTGCTCGAGGGGTACACTTTCCAGCGTGCAAAGGCTTTCATGAGAGGTGGTCTCACTGAAATAGCAACTGAAACTCAAAACAGTATTTATCCAGGCAGCTTGGGGCTGTCTGTTCAAAAAGACCGTCCTCCCTCCCTCCTGCTTCTGTGGAGGGCCACACTGACAGATCTGAGAGAAGAAATTTCATGGAAATAAGGTACAGTTTATTTAGAAATAATGGGGGGGTAAAAGAGTAAAGAGCAGAAGAAAAGTGATTGAGCCTCTCTTCAGAATGATTGGCATGTTCAAAAGTAGAATTTACACGCCTTCCCCCGAAGCCTGGATCAGAAATAGGGGAGAGGATCTCTCTTCCCCAGAGTGCTGAAGATGTCAGAACCCACAGCATACAACATCTGAAATACCCATGGGAAAAATTAAACTGCAAATCATCCAACTTCTTTCCAGTGGGAAACTGAAGGGGGGGGAAAAAAAGGCTATGTGAATGTCTTAATTTATGCAAAGGCCAAACCATTCAGTAGTTAGATTTTTGAAGGCGGAATTAAAATGAAATTAGCTTTTATGAGGGAGGAGAGATATTTTGGGAGTGCAAGCCAACTTTTCTGCTATCACTGGGTCTCATCTCCTGAATTCCTCAAGATAGCTCATTCAGAAATCCTAACACTATTTCCGTGCTTAGACTCCATATACAGAGAACATATTTTTAAGACTCTTTACTACACAAGGGAAAATATTCTGCTCATATCTGGCTAGATTCACAAGACTGACTAGAAAGCAACACTCTGCCCTTCAGTTTGTGGGACTTTTTTCCTGCTTTCCTTTAAGGGAAAAGACATTGCTTTCTCCTACAGTGTATTTTAAAAGTCTCCCATTAAAAGTCTGTCTGCTGTACTTATTTGCTGTATGTTTCCACACCCTGCTTGACAAGCAAGTAGTCATAATTTGCTGCCTTACAGTTGTGACATACTGCAGCATTTTAATTTTCTACTTTGTAGATTTTAATCCATCACAGCACATTCCGTCACCCACACTGCGCAGTAACAGTAGATATTTCACCAGCCAACAGAGAATGAACACAAAGATATTTAGTAGAGACAAAAGCCCTACAGAAATGCCAGCAAGCTAAGGGGAAGGAATGCATGATAAATGAAGAATGCAACCACAGAGATAACTGGTAGGGGCAATGAGCTTTGTGCAGTTCCACTCAAAAGCTGAAAGCTGATTACTTCCGTACAACATACTGGGCAGAATAAGGCTACTATTTTAAAGCAACTAACATGCTTTTGCTAAATAACAGACCATTGTCAGAGCTGCTATCCCAGGACAGCAAAACTGCTCTTACTGCAATTACCATTCCCTAGTTGGAAGGTTAGTTACCCAGATTTTCTACACTTAATTAACATCAAACCCCAGCTCACTTCTGATGTTCAGAAATTCTGCATTCCGTGCAGAAGCAAATGTTCGGCATTTCCAGCTGGGAAATGCTTTGCTACTGAAAAAGAATTAACCCAAAAAAACCCAACACCTCTTCCCCCCCCCCAAAATTACCAATTCATCTTTTCCCTGCAATAACATACAAGAAGAAAATTGTTTTGAAAAACACACAGAAGAGGTGTCAGAAAACCGAACTAAAAACGTTTTAATACAATCTTCACAGCATCAGTAGCTCTGCTAAATTAAACAGTATAAACCTAAATTCTATTATTCTCCTTTCAGCAACTGTCATGAGTCCCAAAATTATCATTGGACTAAAAAGTGCTAAGGGTTAAGCCTGTCACCAAACAGGACACTGACAGGTTTTTTTTTTGCTCGTTTTTTCCCCTGATTATTTAACCTTTATTAGGTAATCGTCACTGGTATTCACATGCAGTATTTACAATGCAGACTTTCATTCAAGTTACAAAGCCTGAAGATTTAACTGTGTTTATCTAACATGCCTGCACCAATTTAATTATTTTTGCAGTCTGTATTGTGTCCAAATGCGGGTAAATTTTCCAAGAACAACAAAATGGTGAATTGCCTCTAAAGCTTCCAATCCCTGCTAAGATACATGACAGTATTATGGATTCCTCCAAAAGAAAGTCACCATAATATGAAAAAAAGAGACAAAAGCATTAAACTTCTTTTTTTTAACTCTAGTTCTGAGAGACGTAAAACACTGGCAAAAAAGACAAGGTTGAAAAGGAAAGAACTCCTAACTTAAAAAAATTTAAAACCTAAAGTTTTCAAAGTTAACTATGCAGAATCTTGTGACAGTCAATTTCACTAATAGAATGTTCTATCAGTATAAAGTATGTCAATTACTGTCTTCAAGTCATCATCTGTATCTACACTGCTGTCCTGAATTTGTGGCAAATAGTTTGAAAACAAAGTGGTACAATGAGGATCCACTAAAGTATACAAGTAGATAGTACTTTTAAAACATTACTAAATAGGTAAAGATTACTTTCACAAATCCATAAAAAATACTGCAAGACTGGCCTTCACAAGCAAAATGCTTATGACAAGCAATTAGACTGAAGGACTTAGTGAGGAATTAATCTATTTCAACTAATATTTTTTCCAACCTCAGCATTTATTTTTATGTACTCTTCTGTTCAGCTATGAACATGTTCATTTATCTCACATGAAGTTCTGCATTTGTTCTTCACACCAGGTTCATCACTTCAGTACTCTGAGCTTAGAACACAGGTATGCAAATCTTTGGATACACTGACAGACCAGGCTGATAGCTGCAAATTTAAAGACTGTTTATACAGAAGTTTGAGAAGGGGGGTGAAAAAATGTAAAACAGTTTAATTGAACTACTACAATTTTGTGTTTATACAAGTGTAGAACAGGGCTGACATTTAGCTTTATCTCTGCAAACAAATATAATAATCTTCTGATAAAGTCTTATGTTTACCTAAGCTTTTATTATCTGTGAACTACTCAACAGTGAGCAAATTAGTCTTCCCAAAGACATTTCAGCTAGGAGGCTGGTTCCAGTTCTACTTTGAAAAGTTTAATCACAAGAGTAAATATAAAACCCAGTAAGTTTATCTTCAGTTACCTTTTCTTGGCCTCTTCATATTGCCAGTTCAGTCTTACTTTGTCTACAAGTCTTGTTTTGTCATCAAACCCAAACTGGCGGAGTTGAAGAGCAAGGAGAGGGGAGAAAAGGAGAAGAAGAAATGAAAATTTAAAAACACTTCCACAATAAAGAAAGAGATAAATTATTCTCAATTACTAGACTCACTAAAAACCTCCATGCCTTAAGTAATAATATAATAAAAATCCAATGCCGATGTGTTCTACCCAAATACCATACTTAAGGGTATATTTGAGCACAAAGGTGTAAGACTGTATCTGAAGTTCTATTCATTTTTAAGAAAAATACCTCAAGACTACCAAATACTTCTCTTGTCTTAGAAAGAGGAAAGAAGCAGAATTCTACCCGACATCTTTGATGTAACTGAACAATGATGTCAAGCATGAAAAAAACCAAGATTTTTTTTTAACAAAATTCAAAACATATCTGCCACTACTACCAGAATATTAACATCTCATGCTGTTACACAATCAGGTCATTACTGCAACTTCAAGCTGCCTGAAGCATTTTCTTCCTTCCTGCCTCATTATAAGTATCAGTAAATCCAGGCTGGAGACATGAAGAGAAGTCATCCATGGACACCTCAGCAAGAACTATTACTCTGAGATGAACATGTGGTCACCACCATGGTAATACAAGAAGTGCTCTGCTGGGCTGGCTGAGTCCGAGACATGATTTTATCTGTCACTGACCTTCAAAAGCATGTCCCTACATCCCTGTTCCATGCTCAAGTAACAGAATCACCAAGCCCACAGTCACACAACGGAAAAAATAAGCAAACACAATTCCTTTGCCACCAATATGGCTTTGGATTTTTTGTTCTGCTCCAACCAACATCTTTTAAATTAAAACAGGAAATAACAATGTATCACTATAGTTCAAAAGCAGCTCATGTTCTACAGCAAATGTTTCACATAGGAACACATACCTCTCCAGTGATGTCAGTCTGAGAACAAGCATCACAGTGTTGTTGAGGTAAACAGGAGTCGCTGAGCGAGCCAGAGTTGTGCTGGAGATCCTGCAGGGAATCTGTAATACAACAGCTATTCCTGAATCCATCTGTTAACTTGGCCAGGCTCTATAGGACAAGAGATTTTGAAAATTAGAAAAATTTGGTTTTCTAAGTCTTTTAATAATGGAAAACAAAGAAAAAAAGACGTATTTTACAAATATCACTGTTAGTTTGCCTTTAAAGAGCTATTTACAGAAAGTTGAATTCATTATAGTGTTACCAACATGCAGAAGCTTTGCTTTGAAATCTCATTGAAGAGATGCATCTAACAGTAAACAGATTTTAAATTATTTTAAATTATTTAGATCTATGAATGTTTTAGCTTCTGCATAGCTTACGGTTCTTTAAATCTTGCAGCTGTCAACTTCATGGTAGCTGATAGGGAAGATAAATGTGATTCACCTGCCCTTTTGCCATCTTCTGCACAGGTTACATTCCTCAGACACTACTGTTATCATATCCAACTTGATGAATACCTTGTATTGACTGCACTTTTATGACAGCTGATTTCACCCTGGTGCTCTCTTACCCAAGGTTCACATAGTTAAGAGATATTTTACACTTTGGGTTAAACAAGGGACATTGCTGAAATGTCTGTACAATGACACAAACTGTCAGGGTAAAACAGAGACCTCAAGCAATCTTTAATAGGAAAGGGGAGTAAGACAGAATCACACAAAATAATAAAAGTAACTTGTTTAACAACATAAGCTTGGTTGACAAGCTCTTTTAAAAAAAAGTAAAATTTTTAATATCACTTTTATTTTCTCATTGTGCATTTTCTCTTTTTCAAACCTTACAGATAACGTAGTATTAGAAACAAAACCACTGTGCAGGCTCATTTAGAACATCCAGTCCTGTCAAGTCTCCTGCTGTATGGAGAATCAAGAGGGACCCCTAATGGGTTTGTAAGACAGAAATCATAATTTCAGATCATGGCCTCTTCCCAGGCAAGCACAGCCAGTCACATGAACAAAAGCTCAGGATTCAGAAAGCCTGAAATTTCTCCCAAATAAGTTGTCCCATCTGCCCTCTTATGTTACAACCATATGCAACATCACAGATCCTGATGCCATAACATAAATCTAAACTTCTGCCTGTATTTCAGCTACTTTATGCACTCCTAGTATGCTCCTGACACCCTCCAGCATTCTCTGTGGCAGGTAATGCTGGCCTGGCTTCCTATCTGGGCACAGCTTCTGAACCCTGATTACTTCTTCAAAATTACAAAGCATTTGACAAGTGGCAATCACCAAGTAGCATCACCTTAACTTACATCTACATGCACAGGTGACTGCACCCTAGGGCAAGCATAAATGCCTTCTAGCTGGATGAGTGAAAGCACAGCCATCAGCAACTCTAACATGGAAAATTACAACCTAGAGTTAGTATACTTTTAGATAGAAACAATTTACATAAACTGCTAGGAGTAATTTCCTTCCCAGCTATATGGAGGAATCCATCCTTCATCTGGGGTTTAAGGATTGTTTATGGCAATCCCATAGAAACTGCCAGAGCAGCCTACTGTATAATGTGAAGTTCTAGGAACACCAGCCCAGACCTACCCAAAATGAGAGAAATGAACACTGTCATTTCATCATTTTCTGTTGCCATCTGACTTGGGAGCTCCCTGAACAATTTCAGTGCAGTTCCTATCTAACATATTTAGCCAATTTAACTGGTAATGAAAAGAAAGGAAATTAAGGGGGAAAAAAAAGAAAAAACCCACAAAAAACAAATTCCATTTCTTCCCATGGATAATAAACAACATTTTAAAAACATATGCACATAACTGGAACTGAAACAAAAGTATGAAACATGGGAGAGGAGAGACAAATAGTGCTTTCAGGAACCTAACCATACACCTTTTTTATTCAATCTTATGTATAAGTTCATCAACTTTTTTGAGCAGTGGCATTGCATATTTGGCTTTATTTGTAATCACAGCACCCAGTTTAAATCTGTCCACCCTCTCCTTCCCTCGTCAGCCTTCTCTCCCACACAACTAAATCCAATTACCATATTTCTGTAACAGCTACAATTTTCCAAGCACCTACACAAGACTGAGTCACTTCTACTATGTTTAATTCTGTTGCTTACACTGGCCAGATTTAAATTAAGAAATAGTAAGAAACTGCCTATTTCCTTTGTCAGAAATAAATTCCCATCTTTTTACACAATACTTTGAACTCCTCTATAAACAAATTTCAAAACAAAAAAAAAAATTCCTAAGAAAGTTTGTCTTACCAGCAATAGCTTTAAAACTTAGCACTTTCAAGAACAAAACAATTACAATATTGATAGGAAATAAAAAATTCTGAACTCATTAGGAAGATATTTAAAATAGATTTGCCTTGTTTTACAAAGCTAAATAAATCTGTGACAGCAATCATCAAGTAATTATAAAAACAAAAGGCACAGATAACTTTGGTGACAACAAAAGTAATTTTTTTGGTCAAAATTAAAAAATTATCAGGCAGAGAGCTGAATATTTTTGCACAGCAAAGTCTGCAGAAATACACAATTTTTACAACTGCAGATCTTGTAAACTATGGCACAATCCCTTATTACCATTGCAACAAAACATGCAGAACTGTTTTGCATGCTACCCTTGTGTGCAACAACTCTTTTCTAGATTACAGAATCATAGAATCATCAAGATTGGAAGAGACCTCTAAGACCATCAAGTCCAACCATTAACCTGCCACTCTGCTGTAACCCCTAAACTATATCCTCCAGTGTCAGATCCAGACGCCGCTTAAACACTTTGAGAGATAGCAACTTCACCACCTCCCTGGGCAATCCATTCCAGTGTCTGACCACTCTAACCATGAAAATACTTTTTGTAACATCTAATCTGAATCTTCCCTGTCTCAGCTTATGGCAGTTCCCTCTAGCCCTCTCCCTGCAGACATGGCAGCAGAGACCATCCCCCACCTCTCTACAACCCCGTTCAGGTAGGTGTAGAGAGCGATAAGGTCACCCTTGAGCTGCCTCTTCTCAAGGTTAAACAAATCCAACTCCCTCAGCCATTCCTCATACAACGTGTGTTTTAGGCCTTTTATGAGCCTCACTGCCCTTGGCTGGACTCACTCCAGTGCTTCAATGTCCTTTTCAAAGTGAGGGGCCCAAAACTGAACACAGTATTCGAGCTGTGGCCTCACCAGTACCGAGCACTGGGGGATGATCACTTCCCTAATCCTGCTGGCCACACTATTCTTGACACAGGCCAAGGTGCTCTTGACCTTCTTGGCCACCTGTGTAAACTGTTGGCTCATACTGAGCCACTGTCAACCAGCACTCCCAAGACCCTTTCTGACAAACAAGATTCTCCCGGACTGTGTGTCTATTTTTGGATGCTATCACAACAGATTGTCATTAAGGACAAAAATACTTCCTAGACTAATATTTCCTGTATGTCATGTAGACCCATGAAGAAAGATAAAATACTTTTAATTTTCACTTCCATCTCATGCAACCTCTACATTCTGGTCACGCCAGCCGGGCCCAATCCTCAATGTTAAGCTTGATCCTAGACTTCTAACTCCCACAACACTGTATTTAAAGAAACTGCAAGTGCACTTAAAGTTGGGTTTACATACATAATTCTCAAGGCATCTCAAAGTTTACAGCTGGATTTACAGCCACTGAGGACTGAAAATGTAAGGAAAAGAGTGGGGTTTTTTTTAATGGAATCTATTGGGAGAGTGAAAACAAGGCCTGTAGTTAAGCTGCTCCAAGATTTTACACATAAGTTTTTATATTACCAGTTAGTTTCCTAAAGTGTGTGTTATTGCATCCATGAAGAACTGCCTTTCTAATCTCTTCTTGTTAGTCAAGCATGTGGAAGACTGAGAATTACTTTAAGACTTGGCCAACCCAAAATATCAAATATGTTCAAAGTTGCCAAGGCAGAAACTTTTCATAGTGACTTAAGTGTTCTGTCTACTTGAACAAGGATTTGTGGTTCATGAGATGACCTTTGTGTAATGCTTTGGAGACTAAATAATTGTATAACTATGAAAATTCATTATATGCAGATTATAAGCTACCCATACCATTTAGCAATAAAAAAAAAAAAGAAAAAAAGGCAGCAAAACACTACTGCAGAGAAAGCTGACAGACAATGTTTGAATGGCAATCTTAATTTAGCAGAGTCCTACAACTTTAGAAAACAAATATGCCTTTTTCCATACAGCTGTTAGAAGACTGAGTGAAGAGAATTGTTCTTACCACTTCTCTCTATCTGCAACATATTTTAGCAAGCCCATATTGAAGCCCCTGTGGTGGCAGAGGCTCCCTGTTCTTTGATCAAGCTCCTATCATATTAATAACACAGAAATGCAACTGAGAGCTTGAAGCAAGAGGCAGAATCCATTCAAAAGTTAGACCACTGCTCAGGTATATATCTCCTCTTGATCCTTGTGCTCTGAGTTACAAAATAATTTAAAGCCTGCACAATGGTTTCTATATACATTGTATTTAATCATACTCTTAGAGGGCTTTGTGAGAACATTTAAAATTAACATAGGGCTTGATATGGGTGCTTGAGGATTTGGGGCAAAAAGTGACATAGTGACAGAGATCCAGTTTTGTGAAATGCTTATAAAAGGAAAAACTTGGTTGACATACTGGTAAACTTTTTAGCACATGAATTCTCAATTCTACTTCATTATAGGTAACACAAAGAGACATTAAACAACTAGCACAAAACAGTAAGATTTTATTTTTGAAATGCAGCAGAGTAATTCCACAGCAGTCTTAGACACAGCAACAATGGAAAGCTATATTCAATAGACATTGACCTAAATGTAACTTAGGTAACTACATTACCTAAGACAAAAATAGGAAATGCATATGAAGTCTTGTGTTCACAGTATGGAAAATGACTACTTACCTTTTTTGAGCTGCTTGCTACTGACAATTATCTAACAGAAAAATCAGTTTAGGCCAACCCCAATTCCTTATTTAAACTTGGTAAACTCAATGCAATCCCAAACAAGAAAATAGATGTAGGTTATTACTATTTAGAAGCTATTTGTTCAGCAGTATATTTTTTACCTGCATAAGGTCCTGCCTTTCTTTTTCACCTGTGCATATAGCTTTCTTTATGGTTCGAAGTTCACTCATTATAGCTTGTGCTTCATCCAGTCTGTAATTTGTATGAGCATTTGACATCTTACGATCAATCCTGTTGAAAAGATTAAGACAAATTCAGGAATCTTCACATAATTAGAAAGCTCAAAGACTTTTTAAGACCTCTTGTTTATTCATGTACCACTTCATTTCCAGGAATAAAATGATACTCTACTTGAAATTAACACAGCACTCAATGCCAAGTGCACTCTAAAGACAAAGCAAAGCAATTATCTACCCAGGTTCTGCAGAATAAATTTCCTGGGTTTAACATCCTAATACAGAGCTTAGGGCAATGTCTGTGGGCTATTTCATGCAACAGAAGTAAAATCAACCTAAAAGTAACCAACATGGCTGTAACTCAAAAGAGAAAGATTAGCTATTTAGATGTCAGATTTTCCATGCAGCCCTACACATCGCAGCGTCTCTTCCAGGACTTCTATCTGATCTTGCTTTAGAAGCTTCTAACAAAGGTGTTTGTTTAATTGTGCAGGAAGAAAATTTTAATTCCTAAAACTTTATTGCAAATACTTTCCTGCTATAATAGGTATCTTTAAACATCTTTTCTATATGACATCATCATCCTGCACTGAAAAACATGACATGGGACCATCCCAGAAGATTTCAAATGCAAACTAAACAAGAACACTAGTCATGACATAAGGTTCAAGTACTACTGCTTCCATCCTGACATAATCTCTCGAGTGGAACATCCACTGGCTGAGTTTTCAACCTTTTTTCTAACAATTTGCAATAGTAAAGGACAAGATATCAGGATGCAGAATCCTAGTTCAGTGCATCATCTTGATAATTTGCTTTGATTTATAACAAGACCAGAGACCCTACTGAACTTACTAGAAGAACCATTTAGTCTTGGATTTACAACAAATGGCTATAGGGTTTTGACAGGTTATCCACAGCAATTAGTGAAAATCATGTTAAGTTCCTGCTAGAAAATGAAAAACGTTACCTTCCTGTTAATCTAGCACAGAAAGTATGTATATAGAAAAAAGGTGATATGTGTAATGGTCCTTAAACCAATGCTAAGAACAAACATCTTCATGAAAAGGTGTGTCTGGTTAACAGAATAAAAGATAAAAACCTACATAGATCATTAGAAAGGACAGCAGATTGTAATAAAATGTAGTAGGAGAGGGGATGCTATACATATAGGACAAGAATAACCAAACTCTACTTAAAATATTGAGAATAACTAACAGTTTCCAAGAAGGAGGGTCAACAACACTCACATCACATGTTCTGCCAGTTAAAAAAAAAAAAAACAAACCCAAAAGAACTGTGAGATTACACCTGCATCAGATTACTTGCTTTAAAAATTAAAATATTAAAATGAAAAATCAAAAGGCTTGAATGAAAATCCTGTGGTTTTATTGCACAGCTGAAAATATTTCAGAAAAAATAGGAGGTTGGGTTTCTACAGTTTTGATTTGTTTGGTTTTTTTCTGACAGTTGTCTCTTGGAGACAACAGAAAACAAGTGTGAACCTCAAGCTTTCTACTTAAACCAAATTTCCCTCATGTTATATAAGAAAATATATAATCTTTTATGATAACTGATTCAAGAACAACAAAGGACTTAAATGTCATGAGGGTTAAAGTTGGGGTTTTTTGTTTGGTTGGTTTTGTTTTCTTTTTAAGATGTTTACTTGAGTCTTCAATAGTTTTTAGTTAAAATCTTGAAAAGATAACACCATGGAAAAACAACTAATCCAATTCACTATCAGTCATATGAAGAAGATAACAGATATTTTCATCTGAAGGTGACTGTAATGTTAAGAACATGGATTCCATCCAAACATTAGGCACAAAAATGCCTTCTACACAACTGCTCATTATAGTGTTTGCCAGAACCAAGGTGGCATTTCAGGAAAAGGAAATTATTTAATTTCAACCAGATTTTTGTCCAGTTATCCACATATTCATGTTCCTGGACATCACTTGGGAGCCCAGCTTATGAATTGATATTTGTTTTAAGGAAAGAATCAGAAAAGTTTCTACTGCCAAAAATATTTAGGTTTAAATCAATATTGCTGTCAACCCAATGTGACTTAAGCAGCTTACAAAATTACTTGTTACTTATTATCTGTTATTTTTTTCCCTGTTTCTCATAAAGCTCTATTTTTGGAAGCCAGAGTTAACAGGAGTCTTCCATTTTATTAATGGAAAATAGCATGATACAAACGTAGATCTTTGTATGAACAGAAAGAATATTCAACTAATACACTAAACGATAAGTACACATTTTGTGAGGAAGATGTTTCTAGGATACACAGACTATTAATATACTTGCCATAGTTTCAGTCCCATAGGGCAGATTCCATATTCCTCCATTTTCCTCCACATGCTCTCAAATACACAAGACTTCCCCCCCATCCTCACCAAAACACAAGTCTCTACTGCAGTTAAAATCTAATTTTAAAGCTTTTGTCAGGTTTCAGATCCTCTAAATTAGTCTGTAGCTACAAATTATTTAGCAAGTCCTAATTCCCTGTCACTCCTGACTTCTCACAGCATTCACTCTGCTCTCACGGCCAACTGGCCAAGTTTTCATTTCCTTTGCTGCTAAATGCCTTCTTCCTCCAAAATTCCTGCAGGGGAGCAGAAGGGTCACTGAAAACACAGGGGAGGAGGAACTGTTCCTCCTTCTCAGTCTCTGTTGTCAGGCCAGAGGAAGGAATTTGTTCCAGAAAAGGCTCATCTTTAACCCTCTAACTCCGGACTGTGACAGGAGCAGACACACTTTGGGCAAAGGCGTCGGCAGAGGCCAAGGAACACCATCCTGCAGGGAGGGGATCTCTGCAGGCTTTAAACAGGGACCTCTAGAAAGTCTCCAGTGGGCAAACACAGACTGTGTCCAAAGGCTTATCACAACACTGCCAAATTTAGATGAAACTGTAGAGAATACAGTCCAAATAACAAGCTGCAGCACAACAAAGTTTGAAATTCTGACTACATTGAAGCTGCAGAGGTATCAAAAAAAAACCCCAATCCTGTCTCCCCCCCAAACCCCAACTTCTCTCTAGTCATTTTGTGGTTTTGTTTTCTTTTCATACTCCTCAAAGATAGCTAAGCCATTTTACTAAAATTAAAAAGTACAGAAAACAAAACACAGTCCAAGGCAGACACTGTACATGGAAAATGTTAATGCAAAAGATTTGCATCTAACAAAGACATTTGAATCACACAGTAACATAAAATGATGGAAATACTGAGCAACCTAACCACCCTCACCATAAAAGTTGTCTCTTCCCTGAGAGCTACACCCAGCAAGGTTGCACAGGGAGTCACAAGGCAGCAGGTTCCCATACCTGCTCACAATGCCATTCTGGTAAGACTTTCAAAGCAAAACATTCAGCCAGATGTAAAGCCCCAAGTGTGACAGCTCCCAATATTGTTCTTGGCTTATACTTGAAATTAAGTGATGAACATGGCTTTAAAAAACCTGAACAGGATGCAAGCCAATTGCAGTTTGGCAGTTACTTGAAAATTTAACCTAGCACAAAAAGGAAGAAAAATTATGCAGACCAAAAATTTAGAAAACGTAACAGAAGTGGAAAATGTCTGAGATGCAATAAACTTTAAAAAAAGGTGGTCATGGTGAAATCAGCAATTTTGTTTTAAAGAAGGAGCAATTAATTTCTTTTTAAACAATACACTTCCTTTGAGGATAAGCAAAACTAAACTACTTCAGCCTTGGTGCTTGTCTGGAGTGACTCTCCTCTCCCAGCAAATACAAGAGGTAGGGGGGAGAGCATGCAAGGACAACCTAGAGCACAGTTAGGCTTTTAGTCCAATTTGTCTACTGACTACACAAGGAGGCAAGAGAAACTCCTCTTCAGTTCTTAGTGCAAGTAGTCTCCAAACTGGCTCACTTCCTACTAGAAGCAAAATACTCAAAAGAAAGCATGTATCTCACCAGAAAGGCAAATAAAAAATTACTTAAAAACACAAAACCACAAGCCTCTGCTTCACAAGTGAAGAAGTTACTGAAGAGAGCAGAGCTCAGCAAGGCACAAACACTGACAAAAATTAACTGCAACTCTAAATAATGCACGGGCAGAAGGTTATGCTCAGCTTCAGCAAGCAACAAGTGCCATACAGTGCACCAATGGAGTGACTGCAGCAACAGCAGCAATGAGCAGCACTGAAGCACCAAGTTGTCATGCTCGAACTTTTAAACTAGATGATGAGAGTGACCATTTACTAATCAGATATGCTTTTAAAATAATTCCTCTCCTGAATGTCTCTCCTACAACCCCATCCTGGAGCATGGGCAACTTGACTTGGGCTATAATCCAAGACTAACATTTGTATTCTTAATCATTCACAGACTTTACTTTTCAAGAAGTTGCACTACTTTGCTGGACTATCTTAAATGAATTATATTAATTAAAACAATCTTGAGTTTCAAATGGCCTTCAAATACTTTCATCATCCTAGTCAAGTGGTTAGTCCTTTTATCAAACAACTGAACCTATACCCTTAAAATAACCCAATAACCAAGAGAAGGAAAACAAATAAAGAAAGTAGAAAAGGCAAGGTAATTCCTACTCAAAGAAAATAAGATTAAGAATCTTAAGACAAAATTGCTTTTGATCTGTTACTGCTTACATATCTAGGCCACCATACTGAGATGTTAACTGTACTTAAAACATTACTTAGTAAACTGAAACAGCAAATACTTTAAGTGCTTTATTTTATTAATTTTCAGTTAATATCATACATTAACAATTCCCTTAACTAATTGTAAATGCTTCAATAAATATATTTATGCCTGGAAATTATTATATTGTATCTGCCAATGAAGAATTTTGGTTGAACAAGTTTTCTTCTCTGGAAATTTTAAAGTTCATTATAAAACAAAAGAGCCTTGTAAGCTGATTAAAAAAACAAACAAAACCCACAAACCATGCCAAAAAATATTAAGTGCATGGGCTACTCCTTCTTTAAAAGTAAAATCTGAGTATCTTGCTCTATATTGTTCTGCTAATATAGTACTAATCAAAATCAAAGTTGGAAAATAGGTAACCTAAGTGCTCCAGGATCCCTGGAACTGTGTCAGAATTCCTGAAGCAAAAGTGTGAGCCCATGCTTTGTAACACCAATGCAATAAATCCAAAGCTTCAACCTTATTTTCATAGATGCTGTACTTAGGCTGCAAAATGCATGACATGCAACAGCTCCAACATTTTCAGGAAGCTCCTACATTGGGCAGCTCATCCTCATGCATGCCTGAAAAAAGTCAAGATTTCTAAATGCATAGCCACATGTCCAAGGTAAATCCAAGTGCTGTTCAAGCTCTTGGTCTAGCCCCTGGCCTTGCTGAACAGACCTAGAAGTCACAACAACCTGTGTCTACCCACTGTCTTTTCCATGGCCTAGCAACCTCTCTCCCTATTCCACCGGGCATCCCATCTGTGTGCTATGTGTGTAGGTGACTAAGCAGCACACAGATAGAAGTCACTCAGTTCCCATCTGATGGCCTGAAGGAATAGTGGCTGAGAGAAGGTCACCACAACACTTCACAAGCTTGGACCCCACTAAACATATAGGAAACAGAGCGTGGGCTGCCTAATAGCCCTGGCTGCAATGGCAAATTGCCCTGAGCCTTCGTTTCCTCACAAGGAGAAGACAAGGTGTCATTTACTTGCAGTCATTCTGTAGGCTGCAGTGGCAAATTGCCCTGAGCCTTCATTTCCTCACAAGGAGAAGAAAAGGTGTCATTTACTTGCAGTCATTCTGCACACATGCAACAAACTCCAAGGTCTCACAGACTCTCAGATTTGCAGTACAAGCACAAATCAGCCAAACTGTGCAGAACAAGATGGCCTGACCATGAGGTCAAAGGAAGAAGCAGTGTTGTGGTGTTCGTGGCAAATTGCCCTGAGCCTTCATTTCCTCACAAGGAGAAGAAAAGGTGTCATTTACTTGCAGTCATTCTGCACACATGCAACAAACTCCAAGGTCTCACAGACTCTCAGATTTGCAGTACAAGCACAAATCAGCCAAACTGTGCAGAACAAGATGGCCTGACCATGAGGTCAAAGGAAGAAGCAGTGTTGTGGTGTTCAGCTTTCCCCCAGGAGTACTGTGCCCAGCCAGAAAGCCTCAGTACTGCTACAAGAAAACTACTTTACAGCATGGTGCTTTGGGCTGTGCTCCAGGCAGTAGGTATCTCCAGAAAATATTTGGAAAATATTTGAAAAATCTAATTCCACCTTGACAGCATCTTCAGGAAGAGTTGAATAACAGGGCCTATAAAACTGTTCTTGCATGTGAATCTATGAAATCACCACTCCAACCAATTCTGTCCAACCCTCCTTCCATCATTTCATTGTTCTCACCCTGCATCAGTATCACAGCAGAAAGTCTGAAGCAAAGCACTTAAGTTTTTCATTTTAGCAATGCTTTTCTAAGAAATTCATTCCAAGGCAAATAAAGAAACAACAAAACCAAGATCCTCCCACAAACTCTTAACTTACTCTTGCAGAGTTTCAACTCCTTTTTCTTTATATTGCAGCTCCTGTTTCATCTGTGCCAATTCTCGTTTTAGCCTAGAAAGCTGAATATAACAAAATAATTTAAAGTTATAATATGTAGCAGAAACTTCTGTAATAAAAATAATTGGGTTTTAAATACAAAAACTTAAGCTACTTGAAAAAATTGGATGTGGTATTTCAAGCTCTCTTCTTTTGCTTTTAAAATTGCATTAAAATAACAGAAGACTTTCTGAAATATCCTAAGACCCAATCAAACATCCGTCACAACATTCAGCTTTCAAAGTATCCATTTCCACATCTATTCTATCATGTTTCTATCTCAAATGGCTTATGCTAACAGCTAGCATGTTTCAGTCCATATATTTTTTCTTCTCCCTTTGTAGCAGAGATACGTCTCAACTGTCTTCAACTCTTTAACCAACTTTAAAAAATGACTAAATATTCAATGCTGTTAATTTCTCAATCTGGGAAAGCAAAATTACTGGCAGCAGAACTGGCCACTCTCCCAGAAATGGCAGTCTGGCTTTCTGCAATTATTTTCATATTGTCCTGCCCTCTCAATCCCCTTGTCAATTACCTTGATCCAACTAGTGGGCATAAATCAAGTGACATAGCAGAGATAGCTCCAAAAATGTATTTCTGTGGTTTTATGAAAAGAGTTACCTGAGTAGACTGGGCAGAAGAGCACAGTCAGCACCAAGAATGATATGCAAAGAAACAGCTTCTTGCCCTCCAAAGCTGACAGATAACTGAGGGCAGGAGGAGGAGAATGCAAGGAATAACAGACAAATGACAAATGGGGGGAATGAAGGTGTTTCAGTGTGTGGTGGTGAGGCTGACTGAACTGAGAGCCCAAAGAGAGGCAGGGATGGAAGAAAAAGGCTCTCTCAAGCTATTAAACTTGGTATCTTATCTAAAATGTACCCAGAGTGCTCTTGATTTTAAATTAATTTTTTCTTCAGCTCTATTCCAAGAGTGAGGGGCTTCGCAGCAGTTCCAGGATGCAAACCAGAACTGTCCAAGCCCCACTATCCTGTGTTGTCCTCCCCCTTCCCCATGTGTCCTTGCCCTTTCCTCAAAACTCCTGGCACCAGCGTCCCACTATCCTCTGCTGTCCTCCCCCTTCCCCATGTGTCCTCGCCCTTTCCTCAAAACTCCTGGCACCAGACCCTAAAACACTCCTATACCCTCACCAACTCTCTTAATGCTCACCAACTCACCAGACGTAAAGTGAAAAAAGAAAAAAAAAAAGGCATCACCAACATCATGTACACAAACATCTTATAGTGTATATTTTATTCTATTTCCTGAAACAACTCAATGTCTATGCACACAGAAGGAAAGTCATATAAGGGCATCACCAATATCATGTACACAAACATCTCATAGTGTATATTTTATTCTATTTCCTGAAACAACTCAATGTCTACACACACAGAAGAAAAGTCATATAAGTGAAGATCTTGTTTATTTTCTTTAAATATTATTTAAATAAATAAAGCTTATTTTCTGGTTCCGAATACACTGACATTTAGAGTATGTAAAACAAGCAAACACTAGTCAGCATGTAGTAAATATATACAGACAGAATAAATGCCTTTGAAGGGTGGTGAACAGGATTTATTTTCAGAGGCACTCATATGAAAAGTGGTCACTACAACAAAAATGGAACACTATCCTGCAAAAGATCAGTATTTTTTTATTTATTTTGTGAGCTGAGTGCCTGCCATGCTAAATTCCATTTTGTCCTTTAAGAAGTGTAATTTTTACATAGGTTCCAGAGATTCATCTTATAAACGGCTTTTTATAATTGCTTACGGCTGCTACATCAATTTGCTTGAAACCAACAAGCTGAATTTATCTCTGTGCTAAAGCATCGTGGGAGAAATTCAAGAAGTCAACTATTCTTTCTTCAGCAAAGATGGTATCAAAAACATGATTCTCAGTTTCCTTAAAAATAAATATATAAAGATGGAATGTTTTTATTAAGGAAGTGCCTATCACTGTCAGAATATTTGAACTCCCCTCCCATCATAAAGGAGCTTATTTGGCCAACAGGTCTACTGAATTGTGAACAGATTTCCAAATAAGTGCCTAAATCTAGAGTTCAGCAGAACCTCACTGAAAATGGGTGAATGGTATGAAGACAGTGGGTTTGAACTGCATTTAATCACGAAAGAATTTGGCTGCAGAGTATTTACTACTTGTGGCAGTTTGTACAGAGAAAGCAATTTCTGAAAGCCTGGCTGAGCTTGCCTGACATCTGTGACAAAAATGTTTACGCTTGTAACTGGGAAAACACATTACTTCGCAAGTCACTGTAATGCAGTTAATATAGTCCTTTTAATAGAACAATAGGTTGGAATAAAAAAGCAGTTTTTAATACTGTGTTTCTAAAAATGCACTGAACATTCAATGTAAATGCTAAGGTAAAAGAAAAATACAGCCTCCCTCCCTTCCCCATGCCTAATTCATACTTTTACAAAATGAAAAAAGGTTACTCACTCTGTCACGACGACTGGCTATTTCTGCTTTAATCTGATATGGGTCATACTTGGTATTAGTTGAAAATCCAGAGAATGCTAAACAGATGGAAAACAGCATTTTACATTTTTTTTTACCTTCTTTAATACACTTGGTTAAGATATGGCACTATTTAATAAATCACTGCATTAATTCTTTGTGTTACAAGCCACTAGATTTTAAAATAATCCTCGATGCTAAACTACAACTGAGGAGTTCCATTTGGCCCGCCTGAAACTTTTTTTTTGTCCTGAACAACAACAAAAATTGCATATAGCAGAGCAGCATATTTCCTAAAAGCAACTAGCTTCCATGACACCATGGTGGCTTTACTGATACAAGCAATTTGTGTAGCATTAACAATTGCTGATTGCTTTCTAGGTATGTTGAATTAACAGTATGATAAGGACTAAAGTTAAACAAACCAAACTATTGTCAGAAAAACATTGTATCAGCTAGGGAAGCCTCCTAAAGGTATAGGGCGTCAAGATATAAATCACCCTCTGGCAAGTGAGCTCTTAACAGTGTATCTACCTCAGACAATGATTTCAAGCTGTGGCATTACAAGCTAAAGCCTACACAGATGAAGCAAAGGTCCTAGAAGATAGGTTGGGCAGGAGAAACCATGATTTATGGAGTGAGCCACTCTCAGCAGCACAGGCCCACTGAAAAATGCCTGGGGCGTCAAGATATAAATCACCCTCTGGCAAGTGAGCTCTTAACAGTGTATCTACCTCAGACAATGATTTCAAGCTGTGGCATTACAAGCTAAAGCCTACACAGATGAAGCAAAGGTCCTAGAAGATAGGTTGGGCAGGAGAAACCATGATTTATGGAGTGAGCCACTCTCAGCAGCACAGGCCCACTGAAAAATGCCTGGTATGTGAGTGGATGGGGCTGTGCTGTTAGACCTTCCATCCTTTTTCAGAGCTGAAGGCTGCTGTTGTGAAACCCATACCCACGTCTGCGCTGCAATGAGCCTTTCAGCTCTGCAAAGAATACTGCAACGCCAAGGTCATGTCAAGCGTGCAGGAACTTGCCAAAATGAGTAGTCATGCCTGGACTAATTCTCTAAATCCAGGATTTTCTATGGTGGTTTTTTTTTTAAAACACTGCTGATCGCAACTGAGTCACAAAACTGCTGCATGGGCACCCCCCTGTCAACCCACAACCGCTGAGCTCACGCCACCTCCCACTTGTGAGCACACGACACAGAGGCAATGGCAGCAACCACATGCAAAGTGGAGGAAAACACTTGCTGAAGTTTTACTTCTTTGAATGCAACAGCTTGAAAAAAGTTGTAGTGGAGGCAAGGATACAAGCACCCAACTTCAGTCATGCAGTTGCACTCAAATTAGAAGCCTAACATTTCAGTACAATAAATGGAGAGGCAAACATCCCATCGTGGAGTTGGGGAGTAAAATTAAGAAAAACAAGTGGAGAAGAAGCCTTGGGGAATATCTTGAGTTGACAGCATGATTAATTCCCAGGGGGATGTTTTAAAAAAAAAAAAAAAAAACACAACAAAAACATCTGACTAATCAGCCCATCCCATTTTCTCACAACAGATGCATATGACCTTAAGCCAATATAAAATATATTAACATATCTGTAGAAAGCTAAAATATTTTTTCACCTCAAAACAAGTGAAAGGTTTTATTTAAATGACCTTACAAATTCTCATTACTAATTCCAGATATACCTAAAATGCCACAATTAATGGAAGATTGAGAAACATAAGTCAAATGACATAGCATTTGCATTTGTTACAGATAACCTCCAATTTTGTCATTTTTAGTCATATTTTGCTGCCATTTCAAGCAACTTGTTTTCTCAAGAGCTTCAAAAATATGAAAAACGGGTTATTTTTTTCTAGTGTATCTTCATCTTCAACAGAAGTATCTTTCTGTGTATTTGCCTGAAGTAATTCAGCAAAATATCCCACAGAACTATTACAAATTTTCAGTAAAATAAAAGCCCAAGCTCCTAGAAAGGTATTGTAATAAATGTCTATTTAGATTTTATAATCTCAAAAAATAATGATGACATTATCTATTACTCTATTCCAAGTCCTTAAACAGTAGTTAAACACCCTTTAAAAATATTTCTTTCTTTAAACCAAAAAATTCTTAATAGTTCTTACAAAACTTGAACATGACAGGGAGAAATAAGACCAGTCACAACTGTTCAGCTATGTCACAAGCTAAATCACAGAATACATATATTTAAAAGTAAACAAAAAGATGGGAATCCCAGTTCAACAGTAAAAGTATACTTGGTCCAAACCATCTGGGACACCTCAGCCCTAGAAAACTTCTTTTATTTAGGATTTGGCATACATATGAACTACCTCAAATTAATAAAAACCACTAGATCAGTAGCTAAACACTTCTATCCAGATATTTGCTTTAAGCCCCTTCCACAGCCAGTTTTCTTGAAGATTTTCAGAAAAGGCTAAAGCAGAGCTTCCCATTCTTATCAAGTACTTGTCATTTAACAGCAAACACAGTTAAACCATGGCTGTACACAGAGCAGCCACTGAAAAGCCACCAGCACAGTGAAACTCCACTACACTTCCACATGGCTGTTGGGTATATCCACTTTGTACACTTCCCTGAACTAGTCTGTTTCACTCTTCATCAGAGACACCAGCCACCACAGTGCTGCAACATCTTCAGAACTCAGAGAATGTGTATCATCTACTCCAAGCTAGCAGAGACATTTCACAAATGAAAAGGGCAGGAAATTCAAGCTCTATGACCTACACCAACATGAGGATCATAGGCTGGCACTCAAGAATGAGGTACCCTAATGAAATATTGCTTCCTGCTTTGTGGTCAGAGGTACTCTTGACCACAACAACTTGTCTCTAACTCCTTATAAAGTTGTTAAATGGACCGTAGATCCACAGAAGGCTTCCCTTAAGTTGATGGCTCCCCTTCATGTTGAGGGTAGACTAATCTACGAGTTTAGGAGTGCAAGTAGGTGGCTGGTCCAGCAACATTCAGTCTTGTTTTTGTTGCCTTGCAGGAAGCATCAATATAGCTGGCTCCAAGATGGGTAGAGATGCTAGCTGGGATATATCCCTGTTTAATGTTAAAACGCATATTCTAATAGACCTAACAGCAAATGGAAGACCCTGAATAACAAAGTAAAGGGACAGCACCTCACTTCTGTAGTCAGGAGCTTCATTTGGAGAAGAATCAGGTGATGGAAATACTTCACACTATTTCTGACACCACATCTTGTGAAAAGCAGGTGAGTAAAATAAAGACTAGCAAACTCACAGCTGGCATAAGAACGGCTGTCATCCTCACACATTTTGTGCAACTGTTGATATTCTTCTTGGGCTAGTTCAAAACGCTGCTGCTTTATTTGGTAAATCTCCTTCTTGGCATTGAGTGCCTCCTGGGCAACTATTAAATATTCCTTTAGCATGCGTTCTTGCTCCCTCCTCCATTGCTCCCTTGGGTCCTCAATCTGTGTGAGCTCTAAGGAGAAAAAGTTGAAAGCGTTAAAAAAAAAAAAAAGAAGAAATAAGACACTTTATGTCACAATGTACAAATTATTTTGTCAATGTTCATTCTCAACCAACACACCTAACACTACAGTGCACAAAATCACTCCAGCCAGGACAAGAAAAAGGATGCAAAGTGAAAGAACAGGAAAAGACCTTTCAAATATAAAAGGCATTTAAATTTTATTCTTTTGCAAACTACTGCAAACCCAAAGAAAACAGTATTTTGGCTCTACTCTTCCCTCATAGTCAACTTGAAAATTCCAAGAACTACCTAAAAACCCAGAGCCACACAGGAGAGTGAAAGGTATCTCAACACTTAACCCATAACTCTATAACCAGAAGGAACAATCTTAAGATACTACATACCACTTCAGAAGTATAACATCCTGAAAGGTCAGGGCCTACTCCTGCATAATTAATAAGGCAATTCAACAGAAAAGTTAGCATTTTAATCTCAAATGCATAAAGCATTTAAATTGGTCCTCTTTCTTGTCTTAAGAAACAGCAGCCTCATGTTTTCCCTTTCCAAGGTTTAGAGTAGTTTATATTCAAACACAAATCAAAATCAAGTTTCCACCACAAAATCTTTCCCCTACGTACCAATTTTCAAAGTTACTACTGCCAAACTATCTCCTTGCCATTGCAAGGACATTTGAGGAGGGCACACGCATTAAAATCCTAAAAAACTATTGGTTCATTTGCGTTTTTCTGTGACCTAACAAGTATGTTTTACATGAGGATGTCCATGTAAAGTCTCATGTTTAAGTGTAATGTTAACTTCAGATGATCAAAGCTCTACCAGGAAAAAGTTGCTGCAGACACGATGTCAGTGTTCAAAGTGGTGGCAGAACCTGCAGTATAATCAGGAGGTAAGTACCTGGTAATTTTTCCCAAACTTGGGAGATGAAAGCCAGTTATATTTTGTAATGATTGTGTGTAAATAAATCAGTATATTGGCATCAGTGATGACATACAAAACTGTAAAAGACTGAACACATTAAAAACTCAAAAGGTGTCAAGGTCATGCCAGCAGCTCTACCATTTGAGAGCCATCGGAAAAGTGTATACACAAAAACAGAAAGCTCCTCAATGAGCAGTACTTAACAGATTTGCAGATTAAGTCCCTAATAACCTTGTCTCTTAACAGCTGTAACTTTTATCTCCCTGCAGCTCCTCATATTGAAACAGCATAAAGATTGTGCTTATAATTCTACAATTTCTCCCCACATCCCAGGGACCCTTGATTCTCAGCAGCACCTTCTGGTTCCAGTGACCCCAAACTATCTCTGCGGCCAAAGACAGGATGTGCTGTGGATTGTTTCATTCACCATAAATCCTTGTCTACATGGAGGGTAAGTAGAAAACAGAGTTCAGATTGCAGCCCATCCTTCACTGAGGGCACGTCAATTTGCAATGTTATCTCATCTGTCCATAAGCACTGCTGAAATCTGTACAAATTCAATATTCCTAAAACTGCTAATCCTCTACAGAAACTATGCAGAAATGAATAAATATTTGAGGCAGACAAGCTGGAACCTAGCAAGCATTTCTTTTTTAATAGGAAATTATTGGTCCTAAACTCAATAAACAACCACGGCTAAGACGATGTGTTTTATCACACATTAAGCTTCTGAGCCCTATACTTCAGGGCACTGCATCTCTTTAGAATTATTTCAAAAGCCTTCTGAAAAGCTAGCAGCATTCCTCTGAGGCAGAAAACTTCTTTAGTGCTGTAGTGACATTTTCTTCTGTTTTATGAAACTTTGCCCTAGATTTCTAAACAAATTTGCCATGTAACAACAACACTAAAGCTACATTGTATGACAAAATTAACTTCCTTCATTTCTTTATAACCTATTAAAAAAAATACTATCGTAATTCAAGAACAGCCCCAGACAAATGCAGAGAATATATTATTCCCTCACTGGGGAATGCCCAACTGCTTAACGGAGACTTCAAAGGCTCCCAAAGACTCTGAGGAGGAGGGAAAGGAATTCTGTGGCTGGCAGCCGCCAAGGTTTTTAAGCAATGGTTGGACAAGAGCCAAGAGCAGCTTAGTAAGGGTGTCAACAAAGTACTGAATTTACAGAACAAGATGGAGATCGGGCTTGGAAGCACCATTGAGGTTTACAGAAGATTCCTCTGTTCCTGGTTTTTTCAATATAAATGAAAAGCTATTGCCTAGAAATCTTTTGATTACCTCCTGGGTAAACAAACATAGCAAGAGGCTTAGAAAAATCAGATGTGTTGCTGTTCTCTTTTAGAAGGTGCGATGGCAAAAAGCTTAAGACAGGGCACAAAGCATGAGAGGTCCCCGGTAAGCATAACTGTAGAAAGACTCTGAATTATCCCTCACATTTTCTCACAGTATTTCTTGAAACCAAAGCACTTCTGACTGTTTTGTCAATTACACAGAACTCCAGTGCTGTGTAAAGCACTTAACCCACTCAGCCACAAAAGACAGTCCAAATGTTTTAACGTGAAGTTGCCATTCCAAGTATTTTAGACATACTCATTTCAGAAAAACAGTTCTTCAGCTCCTACACCATCTCTGCCACTTAGCTGACACCATCTCGTGATGTGCATGATTGTCTGCTCATTAGTTCTCATTTCTACAAAGGAAGTTGATGCAGTCTTGATTGGTACCTTTGATGTTCACGGTTTAAAATTGGATAGAGTATCCTACTGATTTTTGAATAACGATTATCCAGCTATAATATCAACTCTGTCTTCCCCCTGAATATAAATCTTGCTGGTATATGCAAGCACTGTATTAGCCTAAGGGTGACAAACCCATTTTGCTGTGACGGCTGAATTACCATTTAGGATAATATCTGTGGGCTGCAAGTAATTAGTTATCATGAAAGAGACTAATTTTGCAACCTTGTTAATTGCTGAATGATTCCTTTTACTCAGTTCAGCACTGGCCCTATGAAGTTTCTATTCCCTTGACATTAACTTTATTTCATTTCTAATATGATTATTTTTACTTTCCCAGACTCGTTAATATTCATCTTTTCTTTCTGTATCTTCCCATTGAGCATTTGGGAACTCAGTTTTCCTCTGCAAAGACTCTTCTACAATTTTTGCTCTCAATTGCGCAGAAAAAAATCCATGCCAGATCTGACATGACTCCAATGATTAATATCCTTTCTCTAAGTTCAAACTTGATGTCTGTGGTAAACTGCTAATAACAAAATCTGAAAAGCAAAAGGGGGTGATTGTTATTCCTATCAGCTGGATGCTTTAGTAGCTTTTATAGTCACAGCATTACATTAGGAGTTCGTGTTCTACTCATCCTCTATAGGGACTCCCAGAACCTCTTAAAAATTAAAAAAGAGGTTAAAAGAGTTGCCAATATTCTCATTTATAGTTTCTTTTTTAAATATGTGCGTTCACACACACATACATATGTTGCTGCACTCCATTCCTGTACTCTGATGTAATCCTCACTTTTTATTCAACTTCGACATGACTAAAGTTACCATGACATCAATTCTAAGCTATTACTTCTTTTAAACAGAGTTATTGTAAGAATTACCTAACAGTCTGTATTTATTGCCTTTAAATTGTCTTGGCATCTATCCTTGTGATCAATGAATTAATACCTCTTTGAAGTTTATTATTTAATTTGTGACCTTTGCTAAATTTCACAACAAATAAGTACCTGTGTGGGTCAAACAATACCATGGGAACATTTGTTGTTCTGTTGTTAGGGTTTTTTAAAATAAGAAATTGTGAAACCACATTACACAAGTAATTCCAATGATGGCTGGAAGCCAAAAACTATTTCTACACTTTTATTTTTTAATTGACTAGATTTCAAGTAGATAGTATTGAGGTTGGTTTTCCAGATTATACTATTTACCATTGCTGTGAGAGCCCATATAACTACTTTCTTCTTTTCTCACTCCCCACCAACTGCCAATTCCCACAATATTGAAAGCATTCACTCATTGGTGATAAGAAGCTTAATGATAGCAGCACACCAGAAACAGCAGCACAAGTATAAAGCTATAAAGATAAGACATTTCTTTAAAAGTAGAACCAGCAAATGTGCCAGACAGTGGTGATACAAAGCTCAGCAATAGTCCAAAATGTTAGAAGTTGGGGTCCAAAAAGAGTATCCTGTTGTCTTTTTGATAGCACTTCGTACAGTATTAAAACATAAAACACACATTGCTTAAGCAAGGATAAGATTACTATATTTCATAATGCTTCTGATTAAAAATCAGAATGTACTTTGGTTTCAATATAGAAGAGTGGACTATGGATGACTGGAAAAATAGGAAATACAAGTGTAAAATATGGAAATCTCCTTAACAGACCTATGACAAAAAGCAACAACAAAATTACTGATACTCCACAGTACGACAAAGCAAAACAAGAGTTCTATACACTATAACTCAATCATAGGTTGTAAAATTCTTTACAAGTGGAAGAAGAATTGTGACCCCACAGGAACAATGGGAAAACAGATTCTGCAAGAAATTGCTTGCATGTATTTTCTCACTGTAGCACGAAGAGCATAAATGGTATTGGCAACAAAGTTAGTGCCATCAGTTACCATCAGCTTGCTAGCATTCTTCAAAAAAAATCATACATCTACTCACGATTTATGTGGTCCATATAATAAACTCCAATCTGTTGATCGTAAACAGTTTCCCATCCTAAAGGAAGCTCATCACCGACACAGTCAGCAAACGTCAATGGCTTTGTAATCCTGTGAAAATAAAAATAGCACAAATAAATACAAAAGGTGCAGAGTTTACAATGCAGTGAATGTTATTACATGTTTTGAAGATACCTTCATCATTTGATCACAAACTAGTTATGCTGCTTAGGAATGTGCTGATAATTACAAACATACAGTTTCAAAATAAAATTTCATTTGAATATGCTGACAGATACTCCCCAAACAGGTAAGACAAGCTTCTCCCCTCAAGTTTCTATGTATAACAATTTAATTACAATGGCATGCAGTCCTGCCAGTTTTTTTCCCAGACTGCAAAGAACACAAATGTGGAGTTCACCACTGCAAAACTACTATAAGTTTCATAGGTTTTTACTTCTTTAAGGTGTCAAAGCAGTACAATTGAGTGTCTTTAAAAAAAAATAACATAAAATTTATATAACAGATTTTCTCTTTTCAATTATACATCTCCATTAGTGATATTCTCTTCGTTCAGGTGCATCCAAATTACTTCCTCTCTCTCTAAAAGAGAGATAAACATGTATGTCTCTAAAGAATTCTGAAGTGATTATCACAGAAATAGTAATTAATAAGTAACAGTATTACTGTCCAGCAGCTTACAATATCACAGCCCTTACTAGAGAAACTCTTGATAGACCAGTTAATAATAGATACTAGAAAACTGAAACAGCAATGTCAGTGTTGACAGGTACATTGAAAATAGTGGGTTTCAAATTCTACAGAAAGACTCTGCATCAACAATGCTCTCCAACACCAACACAAAAAACTAGGAAGAACAAATGATGCAAGTAAAAAGGCCTTCACATTTAGGTGAATCATGTCTATTCCCCAAGTCAACATTTTAATCTTACTTAACCCTACCATTGTATTTTCCACTAAAGGCAGCCATAAAATTCCTTTACTGAAAAGCTACTAATAAAGCCATTTCAATTATACATGGGATATAGATTCAACACCTTCCTCATGTAGTTGTAGAGGTGTTTCTAATACCTAGAATGAGGTCAACTTTGCAAACATTAAACACATGCATTTGTTTAGGGACAGAATTAGGTTCAGCATAATCCATGGCATAATACTATATGGCATAAAACAGAAATTCTGTTTGTATGTTGTAATACTCATTAAGGTTTTCTGACAGCAGATTTAGACTATACCTACAAATAGACTGTGGAATAGTGAGAACATTGAGACTGGTAATTGCACTTCATCTCATAACACCTGCATAAAATAGCAACTTTGTCTGAACTAAAATTGCCTGTCTTTGAACTTGGAAGTCCTTCCCCACCCCAAAACAAAACCAATCAGAAGAATCAATGGTAAAGACTTAAAATTATGGAACTACTACTACTACAGCTACATTCTAGCAATTCTAATGGTGCAGTAAGTACACCATTCAACCACTAACAAAAGCACAAGACTTTGCACACAGCGAACAGAAAGTGTCTTTACCTGCCTCAGGAAACTATTCTAGCATTCCTGAGATTACAGTGTTCAGAGTTAACTGTAATAGGATTTAAAAAATTATTCTCACAAGTTTCAATGTAATGTTTTAACAGCTCTGTACAACAGTACAAAGATTAAGCTATTTAGGTCAAATAATAGCTTGATCTGATTCTGTGGATTCTCCAACATGTATAAACAGTTTAGGAATATGAAGATGTACATAAACTTGTGCACTACTATTTAAAGTAAAAATTTTCCATTGCGGAAAAATATGTAGTTTATATCATGTAATCATGCAAGTCCAAAGCTGCTGTATTCTAGAAAGAAAATGTTACTAGGAAGTGACATATGCACTCCTTCAGTAATTCATCTAGCAGTCAGGCAGACCAAATATTGCCAAAATACTTCTGATCTCCCTGGAATTCAGTCAAATATTAAAAATACAACGTGCAGCACTTTTTTCTTAAAACTCTCATGGTCTTGTTCTGAAGACATCATGTTTACAATTTCTCAAAGTAGTCTAGACATCGGCTCCTAAATTACCACACTATAGACAAGGTTTTCTTTGGAATGAGTTATGAGACATGCTTGCCTGTTATACAAACATACCCTCACCCTTTATTCATAAATAAAACCTGCACATGATACCCTAACCTCTCACACTACAAGAACTTTAATTCAATGCTCTCCACCATCCCACCAGGGCTCAGACTTCCAGGACAAGGATAACGCTCAGTCTCTGGAAAAGGGAAGCTCAAGAAAACCAATGCATCTGGCCTAACTGGTTTTCATTCCGATGATATAAAGCATGTGTGACCAGTTTAATTATTGGTTTTGAAGGAAAACTTGTAAGAAAAAAACCCCAACACTCCATACATAAAAAGCTGTCTTGCAGATATTCAGACCATTATTAACTTGATGTTGGTCATTTCAAACTGTATTTAAAGTTGCTCCAAATTGGATTCCCTTCAGACTAGGCATAACGCCACATTGATTTTCAGTTCAGTCACACTTATATCTGTGTAGCTTGAACCTCCATTCAGTTCATCCAGGTCAAAATATTAAACTAAAAACTGAAAATTTCTCCCTGTGATTTGCACTGCTTTAACTAAGTCAAGTATAAAAATACCTTTCTGGTTTAACCCACTCAGCTCTGAGGACAAGATTAGATTTTGCCAGTTAGGGAAACTAAGGGTTTCCAGAATAACGAAGACAAAATGGAACAGATGCAGATTATGTATATTGGAGGTCATCCACAAGTTACAGCAGTAGACTGCTGAAATTAAGTATCTTCTGGAAATACTGCTTTACTCTCTGGTGTTGTTTTTAATTAGCTTAAGCACTGTAAAATAAAACAGATCTCTTCTGCTTCTATATAAAGAATTGTACAAGTACATCTGTTAAAACATTTCAAAGTATTAAAATAAAGGCAAAAACTTTTTCAAGCATTATAAAGACAAAGACAGAACAAAAACACTGCCATCTGTAATTAAACAGAAAACAGGACTGCCCCAAACTGTGCTATTCACAGTAGTAAAGAATAACTAAGTCATTTATCTGTGATCATAGGAGTAAAGAATACCTAAGACATTCACCAGTGATCATCTCCTGTTCCCTCCAAGACAACCAACAGATACTAGTAAGAAGATTCTAAACTTTCAGCTGAAGACAGAAACCCTCTGGGACCAGTTTGAAACATTAACTGGTTGCGGCCATTGGACAAGTGGCCAGGTAAAAGTGACAGTTGTCCATGGGGACCAATTCTGCCTAGACCAAAGAACCAACCATAACTTCAGATTAACTGACTTGCTGATTCTTCATCATCTTGAAATATTTATCCTTTCCAAAAGTAATGATGCTCTTCAGCCCTTAAACAACCAACCTTTTGTGACTCTGAAGCCCTTCAGAAGCAAATCCAGAAACAGGTAAAAAAGCTGCCGCAACCCAAATCCTTCACACCAAGCCGAGAGAGAAAAATCTTTGAACACTGATTTTCATGGACCTTAGATCTGTCACTGCTAACTCTGCCTAAATTAAATATTCTTGTTAAGACGACATAAAAGGCTAGTATTTGCGACAGTAAAACAGACACACCTGAAAACCCAAGTTTTATAACTATTTTCTCTGCATCAATTATCAAGTTAAGCAGTTAGAATACAGAAATTAAACCATAACATAAAATCATAAATGACTAAACTAAAAGGTGGGTTCCCCCTCCTTGCATACTGATTTCATATCTTTACCCATTACCATACACAGGATTCCAGAATACATTACTACAGCTTTCTGAATATACAGCAGCATCCAAGCATTTCTTGAATGCATCAGTTCATGGTGGGGACTGTGTGGGAAGGAGAAAAGATGGTTAAAGGCAATGGCTAAACACCATTTTAGACAAATTAGCGCAAAAGTGGCCTCAGCTTCAGATAAATTGTTAACAGTATCTAATTTTAACCCCCAAAAAGAAACACAGAAAACCTCAACCTTTAAATCATAAAGGAATGCTTTTGGGTTCAAAGAAAAGGCACACTTCAAAAATCTCCAAAACACAGTTTTACCAATAGAGTAGGGCAGCAACTTCACTTTCATAGACTTTCAAAACCAGATCCAGGTCACTGAAAACACAAAGCTTCAGAAAATACTAGATAAGATCCTCAGTCTTCCCATGGCACTGATGCCACATCAGAGGGCCCTGGGTGCTTGAAATCTGTAGGTCTAATTGAGTAAACCTTCCCCCGAGAGGAACTAAATTAAGACAAACAGAGCCTGTTTTTGCAAGATCTGGAACAGGAAATCAAAAAGGTATTTCTGAAGTAGAAACGCTGCTGCAAACTAGCTGCCATCTCTCAGACAACGTCTAGATACCTAAATTACAATCAGGATCACCTTATCTTCCAAAGTGGGCCTGGACTAAGAGGAAAACACTAACCATGAGGGCAATTATGAAAAAGAACCACCAAGTTCTGCAGACAAGCCATCATTTTCAGGGGAGACAGAGGGAAGGGTGCAAGAACAGCAGCTGCCAGCAGTGAGTGGTCTTACTTTTGTTCCTGATTTTGGTCAGGTCCAAAAGCATAGGCAGAAATTGTCTAATACAATTTGATATTCCTCAACAGACAACTAGGAGAAACATTCCCTTAAATCTGATCTCAGCCATAATCGTCATATAATGGGAAAGATGAGTTTGCCTGACAAAACCAAATTACAGACTAGGAAATTGTATTAATTCACATTACTTATCTGGAGAATACCAGATAATTTAAAAACAAGTAACAGAGCAACTAGAAAAGAATTAGCAATCTGATAGCTCTAGCAATAGTCTGTCCAAAGAAAGTATTACACAAAGTATATTACTGAAGTGTCACAAGGCAAGGAAGAGAGAAGGCAAAATGAGAAATCACACAAAATTTACAGCTTTCAGACACATTTTTTTAAAACTTTAAGTTACAGCCATTGTCATAAAATTCAACTAATCCTCTTATCTTGTATCAGGGCTCTTATTCCCTCCAAGGACACAGAGGGGGAAAAAAAACCAAACCAAAACAAAACCCAAACAAACCAAACCA